ATTCAATCTCATTGCTTCTTATGGATCTTTTTAGGCTTTCTATGTCCTCCTGAGTCAATCTTGGTAGATTGTATGTGTCTAGGAATTTGTCCATCTCGTCCAGGTTCTGTTTGCCGGCATATTGTCACTCATAGTATCCTCTCCTGATGTTCTGTATTTCCACTGTGGCTATTCCAATATTGACTGCTTCATTGCGAATTTGATTAATCTGGTTCCTCTCTTTCTTCTTTATCAGTCTGCCTAATGCTGTGTCACTCTTGTTAATCTTTTCAAAGAACCAGCTTTTGCTTTCATTTATTTTCTGTATAGTTCGTTTATTTTCTATTTCATTTATTTCTGCTCAAACCTTTATTATTTCTTTTCTCCTGGCATGTTTTGGGATTTTTGTTGTTGTTTTTCTAATCCCCTGAGGCTGATGTTAGATTGTCTATTTACCGCCTTTTTAATCTTTTTCTTATGTGCACTAACTGCTATGAATTTCCCTCTTTCAACTATTTTTGCTGTGTCCCATAGATTATTGAAACTATGTTATTATTATTTGTTGCCATAAATCTTTTGATTTCTGTCTAAATTTCTTCAGTAGTTGAGAAGTCATTCAGGAGTAGGTTGTTTAGTTTCGACATGTCTGTGTATTTTCAAGGATTTTTCCTGAAATTAATATCAAGTTTAATTCCATCATGATCAGAGAAGATGCTGAATATAGTTTCTTTTTTTTTTTTTTTTTTTTTTTTGAGCAATTTTTGCTATAGGGCGCGTGCATTCTCCAGACAGACAGACAGAAAGCGAGAAATCACCGCCACCAGGTCCGGGACGCAAACCGCGGTCGACTACGTGGGAATCCAGCTACATAGCCATTACGCTAACTGCTGGTTCCCAGATGCTGAATATAGTTTCTATACCTTTGAATTTGTACAGGTTTGATTTGTGCCCTATCATAACAGTCAATTTTTTTTTTTTTTTTAGGGCACGTGCGCTTGCCAGAAAGACAGAGAGACAGAAAGCGAGAAATCACCCCCCAGGGGGGATGGCCATGCCACAATCCCTTCTCCTCCATTCTCCTCCCGGGATCTTGGGCATGTACGCACATGCGCCTGTCATGAGTTTTAAGATACTGGGTCTAGGACGCGAACCATGGTCGACTACATGGGAGTCCAGCAACATAACCATTACACTAACTGCTGGTTCCCATATAGTCAATTTTTGAAAAGATTCCATGTAGGGGTGAGAAAAAATATATATTTTACAGTTTTGGGGTGAAAAGTTCTATAGATGTCTGTCACGTCTGTTTGATATATGGTATTGTTTAGGTCCTATAGCTCTGCTTATTTTGTCTAAAAGATCAATCTAAAGCAGATAATGGGGTTTTGAGATCCCCAACGATTATGGTGTGGCAACCTATCTCTCCTTTTAAATCTAGTAGTCTTTCCTTCATGTACTGGGTGCTCCTCAGTTGGGTGCAGGTATTTATAAGTGTTATGTCTTCTTGGCGAATTGGCCCTTTTACTTTGACTACGATATAATGCCCTTCTTTGTCTCCTCTGACAATTTTTGTCTCAAAGCCTACTTTGTCTGAAATCAGCATCGCAACTCCAGCCCTTTTTTGATTTCCATGTGCATGGAATACCTTTTTCCAGCCCTTCACTTTTAGTCTATGCATGCCTTTATCCATGAGGTGCATTTCTTGTAGGCAACAGAGAGAGGTTTCTGGTTTTTACATCCATCCAGCCAGTCAGTGCCTTTTGATCGGAGCATTTAATCCATTAACATTCAACATTATTATTGATATTTCCAGACTTGTTCCTATCATTAAATTAGCCATTTTCTTAGCTTTTTTTGTTTGTTTGTTTGTTTGTTTTGTTTTGCTTTGTTATCTTATTTCTGTCTGTTTGACTTTAGTTTCCCTGGTACAGCACACACTTCAGAACTTCTGGAAGAGCTAGCCTGGAGTTGGTAAATTTTTTCAGGTTTTGTTTATCTGTGAATGTTTTTATCTTTTCTTCCCATCTGGAGGAGAATCTTGCCAGGTACAGTATTCTTCTTGAAATTGTTTTTCACTTAACACTTTGAATGTATTTTTCCATTCTTTCCTTGCTTGCATTGTTTCTGATGAGAGGTTTGATGTTAACCTGATGGGATAACCTTTGTAAGTAACTTGATGTTTCTCTCTTGCCAGGTTTCATATTTTGTCTTTGTGGTTTGGGTCAACCTGGCTATGATGGGCCTTGGAGAAGATTTTTCTTGAGTTGATTCTATTTGGGGTCCTTTGTATTTCTTGGGTCTGGATATTTGAATGCCTCTCTAGGATTGGAAAGTTTTCTCCCAGGATTTCAGAGAATAGATTACCAATGCCCTTATCATTTTCTTTTCTTTTTTTTTT